CCTCAGCATCACCGTCTGTAAAATGGGAATGCCTCTGAACAGTGGCTGAGTTTCATGGTGTGAGAACCAAACGAGATGGTGCACATGGAGGGTTTAGCACCGCGGGCACCGCAAACGTGGGGTGCCATTCACACCATCCTTCTACGTGTCCCCTCCTTCCTGCCCCTGCTGCAGGCATCGAACCCGGCCACATCCCCGGCACTGTGAACATCCCCTTCACGGACTTCCTGACTGCGGAGGGCCTGGAGAAGAGCCCTGAGGAGATCCATCGTCTGTTCCAGGAGAAGAAAGTGGACCTGTCCCAGCCGCTGGTGGCCACATGTGGCTCCGGCGTCACGGCCTGCCATGTGGCCCTGGGGGCCTACCTCTGTGGCAAGCCCGACATACCCATCTATGACGGCTCCTGGGTGGAGTGGTACATGCGCGCCCAGCCCGAGGACGTCATTTCCGAGGGCCGGGGGAAGACCCACTGAGGCTGGGCTGACGTAGGCAAGTTCGGCGATGCCCGGCCACCAGCAACACATAGCCTGGTCGTTCCGACTCTGCTTTAGCCAACTCAAGTGGCATTTGGGGTGACATCCTAGAGGCCAGGAATTCCACTGACTTGTGGGCTGCCAGTGGAGCCCGGAGAAGAGGCGGCTGGCAGGCGCTGGGGGAGGGAGGCCAGAGCTCCGAGCTGTCCCACACGATGCTGAGCTGAGGCCCTGCCTCCCTTCCCTTTTACTGTTGAGGAAATAAAACCACCAAGTGCCAAATCCTTGCAGCTGTGGGGCTGCCTCAGTGTTCCTAAGGAGCTAGGGGTTCCGGCATGCCCAGCCCAGGCTGCTCCAGGGAGCCCAAGGGTTGGGGACCGTGTCTCTGCCTTTTGAACAGTGCTGAAGTCCCAGAGCCCTGGAATGGCCGCAGGCAAATGGTCCTCCACCCCGGAATCCTGAGGGTGACTCCCTTCTGGCTTTTGCGCTATTTAAGGTGAATTTTGCTGTGATATGTCTGGGATCCCACTAAAGCACCCCTACCCCAGGTAAATAGTACCTCTCATTTCAAGAAAGAGTTGAGACCAGAGCTTAATAGGAGGCTGTCCCAGCCCAGCCAGGATGTTCTGGGGAAGGGCTGAGTCTGGCTGAATTGGAGAAGAGTCTGGTTCTAAACTCCGGTAGTTCACACTTGGAGGCTGGTCTCTGAAAACTGCCTGATCCTTTCTGCTCACGGAGAACAGAGCTGCTCACAGAGCTTGATCCTTTCTGCTCATGGAGAACATCTTCCCCGCTTCCCAAGGGTAGGGCTGCATCCTCCTCCCTCTGGATTTTTCCTTTGTGAGGAGGTGGACTGGAGTGTCTAAGGAGGGCCCAAATGCCCCCCCCCGGACCCTCCCCATCTCTCAGGCCCCCAGACACCATCTCAGCCGCAAAGGGGCAGTGTCCCATCAGTCGTTACTGGGGAGAACCCTAGAAATTACCTTGTCTGGCCTCCTTTGGAAACAAAACCAGAGAGGGGCAGTGACTTACTCAGGTCACACTCTGAGTTTATGACAGAGCCAGGACCAGATCCGGATTTCCTGACTCTGAAGTTCCTCCTCCTTCCACCTGGCTCTGCTTCCCATCAACTCCCCTCTGGTGCTGAGTCATTTCCAAGCCCACACGGGTGGGGAGGAACCAACAGCACAGAATCTTGGTTTTACAAATAAGAGCCCAAAAGCTAGTCCCAACCTCCCTGAGCATCAGTCTCCTCATCTATAAAATGGGAACAATATGTACTTCAGAACAGGGAATTCAGACAAGAACCTTTCCAAGAGCCCATTGCAGAGTCCCATTTTTCTGGCCTCAACACTGTGACATTTGTGCTGGATAATTCTTCACTGCAGGTTGCTTAGCAGCACTTCTGGCCTCTGCCCACTAGATGCCGGTAGCACTGCCCAACGGTGACAACCAAAGATGGCTCCAGATGTGGCCAGATGACCCCTGGAGGGCAAAAATCGCCCCAAGTTGAGAACCACTGCTCTAGGGGCAAATAACACAGTTGACCACAGTAGCCAGGAACAGTGTAGACAGGGAGCCCCACCGTGCAGGGCCCATCATAAAGCCCTTCCCCTGGAGCTGAATTTAGCAGGTTAGAAACCCCCTTCCTTTCACGCTGCTCTCAGACAAGCCCTGTTTTCCCTCCCTGGAATTTCTCTGCCCTTTAAGGAGACAAACTTGTCTGCAAGCACGTGAGGTTCTGATCTGGCCTCGTGTCCCAGCCGCCCCACACAGGCTGCCTGACCTGCCTGACCTTGGCCACGCTGCTGAGTTCAAAATGGGCATAGTAGTATCTTCCTGGGAAGTATGAGGATTAAATGAGATAATCCACAGATACTTTTCAGCTTGGTGCCAGGCAGAGTAATCACCAAATATTACCATTATTTTTTAAAGGACTTTTTACTTATTCAGTATGTTAGGTGCCATCTGTATCTCTGGCATTGGGGAAGAAGGAGCAATAGATATGAGAATTGTGTTCCTGTCCTCACAAAGCTTCCAGACCAGGGAGGAGAAACTAGTCCTTTATATCATCTTTCCAGGGAGAAGGGAGTACTGTGAAATGATCTATTTTACAACAGGTTGAGAAAACAAGCCCAGAGAGGTTGAGCCATTTGCCTAAGGACACACAGCTAGTTTGAGAGAGGAGCCTAACTAGAGTCAGAATTCTCAGGGTAGGAGCTTCCAGTGGGTCTTGCCCGCGGTGGTTTTCCAGATTTTAGGATCAAGGCGAGAATAGAAACACGTGTGACAAGCTCATGGAAGATGGCCACGTGTTTCCCCAGCTCCACAGGGAAACCTTGACCGATGGTATTTGGGCAAGGGGGTTTGGTTAGGCTCCCTCGCCCTGCCTTAGTCCAACCTCCAGCAAGGAAACAGGCTGATCCAAGCTGGGCCTTTTTCCTTCTGGGAAGGTCTTTGATGAATCTGAACAGGTTCAAAGGTGACCTGCCCAGAGGTGAGAGAAAGGAGATCTAACCATGCCTTTCTAGGGTTCCCGGAGCTTCGGTTTAACTTTGCAAGAGTTTGCTAGGAATGACCCAGACACTCACACCCTCCAGCCCCCCAGTTCTGTCCTGCCTCTTGCAAGCCTGAACTGGAATAATTACTGCTTGCTGTAGAGGCCTGGCCTCGGCCAGAAGGCCCCACCCACCCCTCGTGTTCAAGGCAGGAACTTGCCACACTGGGCAACAAGAATGATGAAATTGTTGTCCACTTGACAAATATTTGCTAAGCACCCCTCTGTGTCAGGGACAGTTGGAAGTGCATTTCCCAACCTTGTCTAACCAGCTGCACTGGAATCTTTCCACTGCCTGGGTCACTGCCTCGAGGGGTCAGGGTCTAAAGCCCCATCCACACAGTGCACCTAATGATGGATCAGTGTGGCGATTTGGCCCTTGTGTTGTGGAATTGGCTTTGTGCCAGGCCCCAGAAGTTCTGCCTTCCTGTTGGAGCCTCAGTCTTCTCATCTGAGAAACAGGAGCAAACTTAGTTCTGCCACGCACAGGGTGGGTGTGATGTCAGATAAGGTAAAACTCAAAATAAAGTGCCACACCTACTGGAATAATCGCAGCTATATAAAAGCACAGTGGGGCTTATTATCCTTGGAAAATGAGTCATTTGGGGGAAGATGAAATGCTCAGGTTAACTGAAAGCGTTATCATTTTAAGCATCAAAATTTTTAGCATGTTAACCTATTGGGGGTGGAACGTGGTGTACCAAGCGTGCCTGGACTCCCAGTGACTTTAGGGCACAGTAATAACCTTCAGGGGCTGCTTGCCCCTAAACTAAATGGCCCCAACCGTTAGGACTTTTTGGTACTCTAGTCCTTGATACTGCGAACCGTCCTCACTGGCTGCCCTTGCAGTTTGCTGTCGTGTCCTCCAGAGTCCCCCTCGGCCTGCTCCAAGGTGAGCCCACCGTCCGGATAATACCACCCGTTCCGGTGGCCAGACACGGTGCCGAGCCAGTGACTCTGGCCCTCCGGCAACTCGCACTCCCCTGAACTCAGATCCCTGCGTCACCGCCTGCTGGGCCCCTCACCTGCTCCTCCACCAGTGTCCCATCTCAGTGCGCACGGCGCCCACCCAGGGGTCGCTGTGCCCAGACTTGGCAGCCAGTGATCTGAGACTCCACCCCCGTTAGCCACATCCGGGCAGCATGAGGGCTGGTGGAGTTCCACCTCTTCTCACTGCCTGGGTCCAGGTAACCCCCACCCCCGAACACACACACATAGCCTATCTCTTCAGTTAGTTCCGCCGCACTTCCTAGGGACAGGCCCTGTACCAGGATCTGGGGACACGGAGGATGAAGACCGTCCCTGAGGGGGGCCCTGTCCTGGTGGGGAGGGGCAGACACAGACCCTGGCAACAGCGTGCGTGGAGTACCTGAGAGATGGAAACACGGAGAACCCGAGGAGCTGGAGGGGCTGCTTCTGGGTTTGAGAGGCACCTGCACAAGGGGCCACCAGTCCCTTTACGAACTCCCTGGACTGTGCCCCCTCGCTCCAGGTGGAGACGCAGCAGGAGACGGGTTCAAAGTGCAGCCTCTGCAGCACCCTGACTTCTATTCCCTGGCCGTGTGTGTAGGAGGGGCCTCAATGTCCTCGCCTGTGACATGGGCGACCCACTTTATAGGGGTGCTGTGAGGATGAATGATTTGATTCATACACAGCACTGAGCATGGAAGCTGGCGAAGTAAGCAACAAATAAATGTTTGTATTATTAATATTCTACTTTACTGATATTCTATCCTGCACCACCATTCCTGCCTCCCTTGGCTGGGCTGTAAGCCTTGGCGGGTGATATATCTTATACTCGTTTCTCTTCCTGGCACCAGCATAGTGACTGACACGGGGTGTTGGGGCTCAGAACGTTACCCCAAAATATAGTGCTTGACATGAAGCGGCCTCAAGGTCTCTCCGACCTCCCCCCTCGTCCTCTCAGTCCTCTGTCTCTCCCGAAGCACAGGGTGACGCTGTTCTCTGAAGTTCCTTGATGCACCTAGAAACCAGATCTGCCAAGGAGACTATAATTGCCTGAGATTTTATTAACTGGAGAAGATTAAAACTCATATCACAGAGGAAGAGACTGAACATTAAACACCCCACCTAGAGCTCAGATGAACTTTGTCCCAAACTGTCATCTGTTCTCCATCCCATTCAATTTCCAAACAAAATTGTTCACTAACCATTGTCTTAGCATTGGGCCCATTCATTTCCCCCTAAAAATCATTGACTATCCCTCAAATCGCCACATTTCTCCCACCTCCCTCTCCCCCGTGAAGAAGGGTATATAAGCATCTATATGCACCCCACTGGGTTATTGGGTAATCGTTCTGTGATTACCCCATGCTATGCACATTAGAATGAATTTTGTATGCCTTTTCTCCAATTTATCTGCCTTTTGCCAGCTGATTTTCAGCAAACTTTCAGGGGGTGAAGAGGAAGCTTTCCCTTTGTCTCTATAGGGGCCCAAGAATGTTTGCCATACATTGTCAGGGCTGAGAGAGACCTTAATAATCCTTCCTATTTACTGAGTGCTTTCCACGTGGCAGGGAGGATGCTAAGTGCTTTGCCTCCATGTAATCTAACAACCCTGAGAAATAGGTGTTATTATCCCCCAATTTACAGGAAAGGGGGCGTAGACAGGTCAGGTGACTCACTCACAGTCACAGGACGGATTAGGTCTGGGGCTGGGCTTTTGAGTCCTGGATAGACTGACTACAGGGCTTTCATCTG